CCCCCCCCCCCTTTTTGCAGAAGAGCTGTATAATGTTGTCTGCATTGGCTTCAGATCCTAGCTATTATTGTAAAGCGATTGGGAAAATATTAAATTTGAATACATTCGTGCAAAAAATAGTACCTCCCCCCCCCCCTCTAACAGATTTTTTCTCATTTTTTTCTATCTACTTTTTATTAAAAATCACTTTTACCCTCATAAATTTTTATCCTACCTATTCCGTAATGTGTCATATCTATCCACTACTACTTTATCGATAATATCTTATTTTTATATCACAACAAGTCTAATTTGAAAAAGTCAGAAAAATATCAGTCTTAAATTCCATAAAAGTAAAAAAAGAAACAGTTTTTGGGAGTATATTTTTGTCATTTTCATCATTATGCATTATATATGGGACAAATTCCATAAAATCATTATTCCCTCTGTTTTCATAGCTTTTATGTAAAATTTTGGTGGTTTTAAAATCTTACACCAACCTCTCTCTGACCATTTTCCGATCATCTTCTGGGTGCAAGGTTTTGAAACTACTCAGATTTTAGAAATAAATTTAAAAACAGAGGATGTAGTTGTCTATTTTCCAAGTTACACAAGGTATCAGAGCTATTTGGCCATTATATATAATGATTTACTCCATTCGTCCATTAAAAATGCTTTTTTATTTAACCGGGCACACACATTAAGAAAAGCAAAAATTATCATTGACATTCCAACTTTAGTGGGTACTCCGTGGATAAAGTAAAAGAAAAGAGTGGAAAGTTATTGATTGGATAGATAATCATTACAAATCTAAAAGTACAACTACAAGTCCAAATCCACACAACATTACAAATTTACAACACTCAATGCTTCATTACACAACATTTTAGTTGCCACTAACTCAAAATTTCCCACCCAAATTCAACCCTTCCTGGGTTTTAAGTACTAGCTTTCCATTGTTAGAATGCTAAACATTTCCTTCTTCATTGCAACTTTCTTCCTTTCCTTCCCTACTACCACTTTTTTCTTTTCTTTACTGCCACTTTCTTCCTTTCTCAGATTCTTTGTTCTTGCTATGTGAGAATCTTTTTCCTACCTTCTTTCTCTTCGTACCACTGGTGGACTCTGTCCCAGCCGATACGAGGTACTACTTGGACGATACCTAAGTACCGTACTGGTACCCAAATACCAGACTAGGTACTGTCTGGTACCACTATGTTGTTTCTAACCCTATTTTTGTGTTGAGAATCTAGTCTGAGACTTTTTAGATTACATGACGGTAAGCATGAGTGTTCACACCTAGCACTAGGCCGATGTTTGATCATGTTTGGTTGTGTTGGATATGATTATGCCTATTATGAAAATTATGCAATCGTGAATGTAATGTGACAGTTGAAGTAATATATATCTCTAGAGGAATTCTAAGATTTGACCTGAACGGAATAGAGGCAAGATAGGCCATATGCATAGAAAGATTAGAGTCATGTGGTACCTGCTGGGTCCAATGGCTATTCGGGTACAAATATGCACACGGGAATCTATGAACTATCGTTCCAAAGGGGATAGGGATCTCACCTACCCAACAATGAACTCCCGAGTTGGTTGAGCTTGATCTTCGTTCCGGAGGAAAAGGTCTTGACTCCAATAAGCTAGTTAGAGTTAGTATAAGCCTTAATCTAGAGTAGGTTATGAGCCTAGTAAGTACGTAAGTTAAATGACTAAAGTAAAGAGAGTCTAATATTTTGTGTTGTGAGAATGTTTGTTACTTTATAATGTATGTAATGCTGTTATGTGATGATTATATGCATGATATTGTGTGATAATATGAACTAGTGAGGTCGTCTATACGTATAAGTGAATGTTAGATATTTTTCAATGAGCTTCAATGCTGAGCATGTAGCGTTTGTTCTTTTACTGCACGTAGGTAATCAAGATCATGATGAACCTGGAATCAATCTTGGAGGGCGATGGGGACGAAGAGATGTGCGTGGATGCAATTGAAGAATTGAATTGTTATTTATTATTTAAATACTCACTACTTTACGGGCCCCAAGTTTTGTTTTGAACAACGACTTAAGATTCCGTACTGTTTTTAATTACTCCGATGAATGCTTGAAATTATATTTTGAAGTATTTATTTTAAATTGTTTTGAAAATGAGTTGTGCTTGAATACCAATTTAGTAGTAATCCGGTTCGCTGATTCATGTATTCGTGTTATGTGAGTTGGAGTGTTACAGTTCCTATAAAACCGGCTGTAGAATATAGGCACTTGAATATCAATAACAAAATAATACCTCAATTCAAACCAAATTAGAGTAGATCTCATTCATTCAAATCAAGATCATGATGAACCTGGAACCAATGCGGGACGAAGAGATCTGCGTTGATGGGATTGAAGAATTGAATTGTTATTTATTATATAAATACTCACTACTTTACGGGCCCCAAGTTTTTTTTGAACAACGACTTAAGCTTTCACACTATTTTTAATTACTCCGATGAATGCTTGAATTATACTTTGAGGTATTTATTTTAAATTGTTTTGAAAATGAGTTGTGCTTGAATACTAATTTAGTAGCAAGCCGGTTCGCTGATCCATGTATTCGTGTTATGCGAATCGGTGTGTTACAGTTCCTATACAACCGGCTGTAGAATATAGGCACTTCAATGTCAATAATAAAATAACACTTCGGTTCAAATCATATTAGGCACTTCAATGGCATGCCTATTTGGCAAAAATTTGTACACGTCACCAAGCCACGTAATAATAAAGCCACGTAATAATAGTAAGAATAAAAGAAAACAACGGATCTGAGGAGTTTTATTTTCGCGATAGTCACCATGGAGATATGCCGCTGGAGATTTTTCGCAATCAACTCTCCTTTCCATCTATAGTCGCTGGAGAAACGGAAGAAATTGGATGATCTTCCGATATAATCCCTGTAGATTTTCGAATTCAAGGCTTCTTTCCTTCAATGGTCGCTGGAGAAACGGAAGATATTGGATGAAGATCTGCCGAGATAATCCTGGAGATTTTCAAATTCAAGGCTTCTTTCCTTCTATGGTCGATGGAGAAACGGAAAAAATTGGAGAAACGCTGGGATTCAAAACTACTTGCGAGAAAAAAAATATATGTCACTCCATAAAACTACTTTTATGGAGTGACATATATTTACCCGTGCATTGCACTAGCCTTTTTGACATGTCAGCATGTCATATCAGCAAGTAATATTTAAAGAATTAGATAACAAACTCACTTATTTTATGGAAATTGAGTTCCGTATTTGTTAAACACAGATTTCTCAGCATAATCGCGTTTAAAAACTTTTATATTTTACTTTATTATTGGAAAATATTAAAATTTAATAATATATTTTGATACGTAGTATTTAAACAAGGAACTCATATTTAAAAAAAATCAAAACAAACAAATTTATTCAAAGAAGGGATATATTAGTACGACTAAATTAAATCTTTATACGGAGTATATAAAATTTGAGAGTTGGGCTTCTAGAATTGTGACATGTGGGACGCTTATTAGTCAACTTTTTTGAAATGTCAGCATGCCATGTCAGCAAGTAATATTTAAAAAATTAGTTAACAAAAACACTTATTTTATGGAAATTGAATTTCGTATTTGTTAAACACAGATTTCTTAGCATAATCGCGTTTAAAAACTTTTATATTTTATTTCCTTATTGGAAATTATTTAAACTAAATAATCCTTTCCTATAATAAAGGAGACTCCGATTTACAGCAATTCGACATTTGACATGTCTATTTGGCAAAACTTTAACATGTCAACACCACGTAATAACTGAGTAAAATTTAAAGAATATTATACACAGAGTAAGAAATTAATGCCGATTAAATTGATGACCTTTAAGATATTAATTGATAAAAATGTTTAAATAATTTTCATATACATGTTTATACCACGAAGGTTAAAAGGCAAAAAAATTACGGAGTATATACGATCCCCAATGCAATGTTTATTACATAGCACATGGCTTATTTTTATTAAAATGAAAACAAATGATAAAAAGTATTCATGCACACATCAAATTTTAACATCTTTGAGGTTAACATTATTTTTCAAATACTTCTACACTATTGACAAACCTACTAGCAACTTGAATTCAGTAAAAAAATAAACGACCATAATATTGATGTAAAAAATACTCTGATTATATTTGAAACCAAAAAATATATCATACCCAAACACTATTTTCTTTAAAAATAAAATTGAATAATATAAATTTTATATTTCAAAATCTTTTTGAAAATAGAAATGTATTCTATGTATATTAAAATGCAACAAAAATATGAATGGAAAAATAATGCTTTTTTTAGTATAACACATACCTTATTTATATTAAAAAAAGAAAAAAACCGAATAATAATTTGGCTTTTCCAAAAATTAAAAAAATAACTTAATAAATTAATGAAAAAAATTTAAAAAAAATGTGGTTGAGATTTATTTAAAAAAAGAAATGATACTCAAATTATTTTCCTTAACAAAAAGAAAATGGTAAAATTTAAAATTTATTTTTAATTTTTTTAAAATAATAATGAGAACAACGAACATATCTTTTGTATACCCTGAAGTCTTTCTGAAAATTTGGTATTAATTTTTTGTGTGTTGTACACAATCAATCACTCAAATATTATTTATTCCACTTTGGTTTTTTTATGATATTAAATATCATGCGAGAAGTATATTTTCTTTATTCTTGAAAAAATATTGCTTTAAATTTTATTTAGAATCGACAAAAAGTTTTGTTCCACCCGTGCATGGCATGGGTTCAAATACTAGTAAATCAATAAATATGAATGGTAATAAAGATAATGGTGTACATTAGGGATACACTTGACTTACCCCTAGTCCCTCTTCTTTCATGAAGAAATGGGTTCGGCCATTTGGGATGCGATCTATGAGCGGCGCGTTATTTGGTTGTTTTTCTCAAGGTTTCCCCACCATCAATGAAATCCTTAAACCATTCCTCACCCATTCGTCAATGCCTGCACAGACTCCATTACAGGACCGTCTTTTCTTCTTCTTCGTCTCCTTCACGGCCACCTTCTCAACCCCCATTCTTGAGTACGGATTGCTCAATTTCCACGGAGGAAGTTGGCGAGGTTCCTCACCCATTCTCGTCCGAGAAGAGCGACTCTCAAGTGTCGCAGGGAGAAACCACCAATACTTTTAGGGATCCATGTAACTCATCAAGCCAACCTAGTTCTGAAAATAGCAAAACCCGTTTGGTAGAAATCCTCCTGGGCCACAGGGACGACCCTGAATCTGCGTTTAAGCATTTTAAACAGGGTCTGGAGCAGTTGGATTTTCAGCGGGGGAGCGGGGTGCCTCTCTATGTTTTGCTTCACATTTTGGTATGTTCCTCTGAGCACCAGCATATGGCTAGGAGTTTGATTTTAAAACACGTTCTTGAGGATTCTGGTCCGACTCGTCTTGTATTTGATAGCCTTGCTGATTGTGCCAAGAGATTCAGTTTTGAGTTGAGTCCTGTTGTTTTCAATGGTTTGCTCTATAGCTTATGTAAAGCTCGTCGTGCGTTAGATGCTATTGATTGCTTTAAGGGTATGTTGGGTCATGATATATTGATCCAGCCCTTCCTTATTGGTAAAGTCTTAAAGATGTTAGTCCGGAATAAAATGATCCGGGAAGCTAAAGCTCTGTTTAGTGATGCTGTCTGTAGAGGGATTGCATATGGTACTTTTCCAGTACGTTTAATGATGCTTGCTTGTGTAAAAGAAGGAGATGCCGAGCTTGCTGAGAGGTACTTTTTAGAGTCCAAGGCTAGTGGAATTACGCATAATGAAGCAACATACAGTGTTGCTGTACACACTGCTTGTAGATTGGGGAAAGCGAATACTGCAATTGCATTGCTGAATGAGATGAAGGAGAAGAGTTGGGTTCCTTCCGAGGGAACATACACGAATGTAATTTGTGCTTGTGTGAAGCAAATGAATATGGTTGATGCATTAAGGCTTAAAGATGAGATGGTTAGTTTTGGCCGATCAGCAGGATTGGTGGTTATGATAAGCTTAATGAAGGGATATTGTGTGCAGGGTGATGTAAGCAGTGCTTTGGGTTTGCTTGATCGTGTTGTTGAGGGTGGATTAAGTCCAAACAAGGCCACTTATGCAGTTCTGATCGAAGGCTGCTGTAATAAGGGATATATTGAAAAGGCACTAGAATTGCACACTCAAATGAAACTTGCTGGAATTGAGCCATCCGTGTATACCGAGAATTCTTTACTTAGAGGGTTCCTCAAAGCTAACTTATTGGATGAAGCAAGTAAACAGTTTGAGCAAGTGGTTGCCACTGGTGTTGCCAATGCCTTCACATACAATGCAATGTTGTCGTGGTATTGCAAAAAGGGCAAAACAAAAGAAGCAGAAGGTTTATGGGACAAGATGGTGAACAAGAGAGTTGTGCCCACTATAGTCTCATATAACAACATGATCCTTCTCAACTGCAGAAGTGGAAATATGGACAAAGCATCAACTTTATATTCCGAGCTGAAAAATCACAATACGAAGGCTAATGTAGTCACATATACCATTTTAATTGATGGGCATTTCTGTAGAGGTGATACCGATCAAGCACTAGAAACATTTGACAAAATGCTTGCTTCAGGGATTGCTCCGACGGACTACACACTCAACTCCATCATAAATGGTTTGTGTAAAGTCGGGAGAACATGTGAAGCAAAGACTAGGCTTAATATGTTCACAGAGATGGGTCTAGACTCGAGCTGCATGGCGTACAACGCTGTTATTAATGGTTTTCTAAAAGAAGGGTCAGTTGATTCAGCTATAGCTACTTATACAGAGATGTGTAAACATGCAATTTCCCTAAGTGTTGTCACATATACCTGTTTAATTAATGGATTGTGCGAACACAATAACATTGATCTAGCTGTTAAAGTGTTGAATGAAATGAGGGCCAAAGGTGTTGAATTGGATATTGTTACATACGGTGTCCTTATTGATGTCTTTTGTAAAAGAAGAGACATGAAAAATGCAATGGAACTCTTTGAAGAACTTCTTGGAGTCGGTCTTTCGCCCAACATAGTTCTGTATAACAGCATGATTAGTGGGTTTAGAAATGTTAACAATATGAAAGGTGCACTAGCCGTGTACGAACGGATTATAAAGGAGGGAATCCCATGTGATTTGGAGACATACACTACCTTGATTGATGGGCTACTAAAGGATGGGCAAATAGTTCTTGCATCCAATCTCTACACAAAAATGCTTTCGAAGGGTATAACACCTGACGAAATTACGTACACTGTGCTGGTACAGGGTCTTAGCAATAAAAAGCAGGTGAAGAATGCACAGAAGGTATTTGATGATATGCGGAAAAACAAGGTGACTCCTAATGTTCTTATTTACAACACACTAATTGCTGCATACTTCAAGGAGGGGGATATTCAAGAAGCTTTTAGGTTGCATGATGAGATGCTTGATCAAGGTCTAGTACCTGATGATATGACATATGATATTCTTGTTAGAGGAACACAAGAATGTAGCTCAGTCACTGATTGACACTTTATGTATTCGATAGACAAAAAATATGGCACATAGCCTATACCATTTTTGTAACTATGCTAAGTGACATGAGAGGTTCTCCTATGCAGTTGGTTGGTATGATGATTTTCACTTGTCGTATTACTACTCTATTTTGCTGAATTCTTGAAGACTGCTTTGAAATGTGTGATTTTATACTACTAGTTATTCACCTTTAATTAAATACTAGTAATTAAAACTTTCTTCTAGGGTATGTCAAACAGTTAATCATATTGTTGTCCTCCCAGTGATTTGGACTTAATTCTTCTCCAGAGTTTTTTGGCACTTCATTAATCTCTTATAATTAAAGAAGAAAAAAATGTTTCGTGAAAATGGGTTAACAACTAAATAATTCCCCAAGTTTCTAATTTTTATTACTTCTAACACATACTTAATAAACGATTTGCACTTTAAATCACACACACACACGCACGCACGCACACACGCACACACATATAAAGCCGAGCATTTTAATTATGGTAACGACATGTGTCAAGCCACATAGGATCTTTTTATGCTTATTTGGCAATTCTGTGCTGACTCACGAGGCCACTTATATTTTTGGTGTTTTGGCTTTTGACAGGCCATGTGTTTCTTTTCACTTTACTCCCCGTCTTGGTTGAGTGTTTCCTGGAGAACGAATTGGTACATCCCATTGCACTCTTCATCTCCAATGTAAACAACAACAACAACAACAACAACCCAGTTGGATCCCACTACAGTAGGGTTTGGGGAGGGTGTGTGTACGCAGACCTTGCCCCTACTTGGAAGCAGGGAGGCTGTTTCCAAGAGACCCCCGGCTCAACCTGCACAACAAATATGATAGGGTATACAGTATAGCATGGATAAAACACCAAGTACAATGAAAAGAAAGTTCTACAAGCATTAATAGAAGATTCCAATCAAACACAACACACTACAAAAAACCTCTATAGCACCGAGTTCCTAACCAGCTACTCTAATCCTAGTTCTCCAAAGGTTCCTATCTAAAGCCATATCCTCAGTCAGGGTGAGAAGTCCTAAATCCTGTCTAATCACTTCCTCCCAATTCTTCTTAGGTCTACCCCTTCCCCTACTTCCCCCGAAAACCGTAATCCGCTCGCATCTCCAAGTAAAGCTTCAATTTATTTGTTATTTCTGTATATGTTTATTATAAACATATTTTGTTGATGTTCAACTGGTTATTGCGCTCCTCTTCATTGGTGGAATTGCTGGATTTCATTCTGAGTGAGATAGACCTTCCGATTGATCTTCTGTTTTTCTAGGATTTGAATATGGATTTCCAAAGCCTGGCTATGATTCTTCGAGGTGCTCTTAGTTACAACTCTGTTGAACTTAAGGCTGCGAGGAAAGCCCCAATCAGGTACTTAGTGAATTTATAGATTTTGTTCTGATCATTTTTCCCTAAAATAAATCCTAACCAATAAATTTTATTGTGATTTCTTTGATTCCTCAAAATGCTTGATTTTTTTTTTGTTTTAAAATTGGAATTTCAACCACAAATTGGTTGAAATCCATAGGCAGATGATGATAAATAAGACAAATCCCTATGCTGATATTTTTCATGATAATGTTGAGGAAGTTAGCAAAATAAACAATGATATGGAACTGGATTCTCTGCCATCGTAATACGTTCTATATTTTTTCTGCTCCATTATGTCTTGAACTTTTTCATTAGGGTTATTATTGTTTTCATTTCTAAATTCCTCTCTACTGTTTAGTGGTTGTGCAAGCATAAGTCACTTATAGGTTTGTAGCTCATTTGTTTTTATTGCTCATTTGAATATTTATTTTAAAATTTGACTCTTATTGTGGTATATGGAGTCTCTTAAGGCACCGATGGGAAAAGGGAACACTTGAGTCTCTCTTTCTCCGAGCAATATATTTCAATTCTCATGGTCGTAATCCAATCTCTCTCCTTCTATTCAACCATTTCTAATTTCATCATCCTTTCCCATTTCCATTTTCTCAAAATTATTTTTACTTTCTTTCCTCTACCTTTTCACCTGTTTCCTCTTTTTAATTGGTGCAACAGCATTCACTGATAGAGAGATCAGAGCTACTCCTCCTTTAACACAACAATAAAAGTGAAGTGACTGGTAAATATAATAGAGGAGTTCACTTTTATTACATTGTTGAATTAAATTAGAGCAGAGCACATGACAATATTTTATGATTTTAACCACAGTTGAGTATGATTACTTCATCCACTTTTTCCCAGGCTGATAAGAATATCAGCCTCAACAAAAATATTAATTAAATGGCAGAAGAGCCATCATTGTATATCCAATGTATGGGCTGCCAATCTTTTTCTTAAAAAGAATTACTCCGTATTTTTTAATCTTTCAGTTGAATGGTAGTTTTATTTGCCCGATGCTCACTCATGTATTCATTTCAATTTTCAAAATTGATTATACATGTCACTAGATTCACTACATTCCTTTCAAACCAAAGATACAGAATTCAATAAACTTTGTATTTTTGAAAATGTTATCCAAATTTCGATAATTTAGTTGTTCACTATAAATTCTCTGGGTCACTTAGAATTGTTTCACTTTAATATTCAGTAATCCTATATATTACATGTATTCATGAAGTGATTGATGCCAAGTTTGTTAAAAAACTTTATTACTCTGAACCCATATCAAGGCTCAAATGTGTGTGCTATAACAGTAGTTATAATGTCCTTTGGCAGCTCAATACCAATTTTATTTGGTTTGATAAGTACTCCTTCCTCATTTTCTCTTTTTCCAACCCAATGATGTTTCGCTTTGCAACTTCTATTTGTAGTTTGATTCTGTTTGTTTCTAAGAGCCTAAGGTTTGGTCAAATGTGTTTGCTATAACAGTAGTTATAATGTCCTTTGGCAGCTCAATACCAATTTTATTTGGTTTGAAAAGTACTCCTTCCTCATTTTCTCCTTTTCCAACCCAATGATGTTTTGCTTTGCAACTTCTATTTGTAGTTTGATTCTGTTTGTTTTTAAGAGCCTAAGGTTTGGTCAAAGAGTTAAATTTTACCAGAAAAAGTCAAAATAAATAAATTAAACCTGGCTACCAATCCATAATTTCATATAGTTGTTTCGGTAAAATTTAGTCTAGATGGCATACACTAGTAAGCTGACTGCATTCTCAAGTTATATGAACATGCAACCTTTCATTTTCCCTTGATTTTCACAATATTTAAAATTGACAGAGTTCAAATTTGCTACAATTATTTTGTTGTCAAAGTCATCCGTAAGTAGATTAAGTCAATACACTAGATAGAATCTATTGTGATTGAAGGTGTAATTTTTACGGTGATTTAGTGGGAAGTAGTGGAAAGGCTGTTACACGGACGTGGGCCCCGTAGATGTTGGAGAGTTCTGTGAACTGCGTAAACAATTCTCGTGTTTACTTTACTGCATTCATATTATTTACTGTGTGCGTGTTAGTGTCTGAGAGAGTCCTGTAGCACCGTGTCCATCTCTTGGTTCTATGATTGGGCTACTGATGTTTGGATACTAGCATATTTGGCAGATCTATTGCTGGGTAATTGTCGCTTATCCCTCTATTACTTACAGTTTCTAATGTTAATAGGTATGCTGGTTTGTTGTTGTTGTTGTTGTATGCTGGTTTGTAATAGTTGTGATGGTTAGTCAAAGTTGTGTTGGTTTATTCTCCTTTTATATTTAGGGAACACAATGAATCCTGTAACAAGTTCACAAGAATAAAATCTACTTTGCTTTGATCTGGTCTTGTGTAACAATTGGGAGCGGTCTATCTTGTGTGATCGGGAGCAGAAGGGGTGCGAGATCATAAAACAAAGCGTTAGAGGCTTCCTCGACAACAGATCTAGAATCTTCAACAAGATTCTTCCTCACCTAGGACAAGAATAGCAAGTGGCTAGTTTTTTCCTTTGGCAGTAGCATTCCAGCCAAATAGCGCGGGAAAAACGATTCGGCGGGGTAGCAATTGTTTAGTGGCATGGAAGACGGAAAGCAGGGCTTGTCTTCTGGTTGATGGTCAATTGTAGGTGGCTTACCCAGGAAGGAATCAAAGTCTAAGAATTTTCTGAAAATTGTCAAAGGAATTAAAGTTGTGCAATGGACGACAACAGACAGATTGTGACTACAAGGGAAAATAGTTCACTGTCTTTTAAGGTTCCAATTCTAACTACTACAAACTACACTATTTGGGATGTGAAGATCAAAGCAATTTTTAATGTTAATGGGATTTTGGAGGTGATCGAACCAAGAAATGAAATCAATCCAAAGAAGAAGAAAATGGCAATAACATATCTGATTCAAGCTTTGCCGGAAGAGATCGTGTTACAAGTTGCTAAGTTTACCGAAGCGAAAGAAATTTGGGATGCTTTGAAGACTCGCTTCGTTGGTGTTGACAGGGTTAAGGTGGTGCAATTACAAACACTCAAATCAGTTTTTGAGACTCTAAAGAGGAAGAACAATGAGTCACTTGCTGATTTTGCTGGTAAAATTAGTCAACTTGCAATACAAGCAAGCAACCTTGGGTCTGCATTTGAAGACAGATTGGTTCAAAAGCTTTTGGGTACTATACCTGAAAGGTTCATACAGATCATTGCTGCAATTGAACAATTATCGACATTAACACAATGCCGTTTAAAGAAGCAGTTGGATGATTGAAAGCATTCGAGGAACGCATTAAAAAGCCAATTGGGGAAGGAGATATGCATGGTAAACTACTATTCACTAAAGGTGATGGAAAAGAGAAGGTTCGGGAGCATAAATGTGAGCATTGTGGTTGCTGGATCTCAAACCAAGAAGACTTTGGACGTGACCGAGGTAGAGGTCGGGGTCTAGGAAAGGTCAGGATGGTGGTCAGTTTCTGCGGGAAAAGAGTCACATTAAGTGTTTCAAGTGCAATGAGCTAGGGCATTTTCCGAACGAATGTCCAAAATGTGATCAAAAGGAACATATTGCAAATTTGATTGAAGATGATGATGAACCAACGCTGCTGTGAAGATCGGTGTGAACAAACAACGATTAGGGGCGTGATTGTTAGATTTAATCGGGTTTGTTTACATATAACTGAATGGGTAATAAGTCAATGTTCGGGACAGGTTGTATGGTGTCGGTTAGTGCGTTTTACATATTGAAATAATTTAAAAATAACAGTTGGATAGTTTCTAAAAGCAGTTATGGGCAGTTTCTAATGTTAATGGGTGTATTGGTTTGTAATACTTGTGTTGGTTAGTAAATGTTATGCAGGTTTGTTCTCTATTTATATTTAGAGAACACAATGAGTCCTGTAACAAGTTCACAACAATAAAATCTACTTTGCTTTGATAGGTCCTGTCTACCAAATCCATCTAAATCAGCCTTATTTAAGTCTATTATTGTTGAATGTCCTTGTCCGTAGATGTTTACAAAACATTTTCTCCTTGTACTGGATACTCTGTAATAGTTTAGAGAGAAATTTGGAAACAGACGTATCATTTACTTGATTCAGTTATCTGTATTTGTGCCCCATACATACAAGTAACATTTGCAAAGAGAAGGAATTTATTGCTGAAGAAGGCAAATGAGCTTTGTACCCTTTGTGATGGTGAGGTTGCTTTAATTATCTTCTCCAATAGGGGAATCATCTATGAATTTTGTATCAGCTTAATGTATTATTTTTTATATATTTTTATGTATAATTATTTATTTACTCTTGATTATTAAATCAGATCCTGAAATCTTTTTTAATAAAGAATTTTTTTGGTTTTGTTTTGGGGATTAGATCATATATAGAAGTTTAGGTTTCATGCTAAAATCTGATGCATAGATCTTGATGACTGTAGGTTCGCCATTTTTGACAATGACTTCACCAACCAAGAGAACATGCAGAGGAGCAGGATCTTCTTTGTTTTCAGCAGCAATAAGACTGAAGCAAATGTGCAGTGAAAAGAGACCCACTAATCACTCCGTTTTTTAATTTTTTTTGTGTGAAAATTAGATTATCTTGGAAGACTTTTCTATTTCCCTGTTTCTCCACCTTCTGGATTCCGTTTCTGTTCCCGCCCGGAGACCAATCTGCATTCTGCGACCTTCCAATCGCATAAGTTGGATGCAATAATCGTCTGGCTACTATGTGAGGCTGGGCATGGGGGCAAATTTCCAAAGGTGAAAATTTAATTGATTTGCACTTTGAGCTGAAAATTTATCTTGAAACAATCAGTTAAGCACAAGGTCTCTATATTATATAATTTATTGGTGTAAGGACCACAATGGCCTTTAAGGAATGTTATACACACAGCTCGTCATATGCCTCACATGTTAGCTTAATGCAAGTCCCCTTCATTATATAGATAGAGATTAATCTTCTCTTCATAATGCTATTACCTATGATAACACTATTGCAGTACTATCGCTTTTTGAGCTGTTGTGATTTATTATGATTTGCGAGTATTTTTAAACCCCATCATCTTTGGTATGGTTTTTATATGTCATGACAGGTTGCAGATTCAACAATTAAGGGTTCACTTGAATTTGCTATGCGTCATTACAGGTAAGAAATTATCATTTTAACCTTACCTTGGTATGTTATTTGTCTAAATCTTCATAGTCATTTGTTGTTGCCTACACCCAACACATTCATACCTTTAGGAGTATGGATAAAGGGCCTATGTTTTTTTGTTAAAAACACCTATATTTCCTGGCTTTGCCCTTCACCTACAAATAAATATATAAAATTACATTTTGGAAGCAGACTATAAAAGTTGCCAGATTACAATTTCACAAGACTTAATAATAGCCCTGTTTGAAATACAGTAGTTCAGATCTCTTATGTTTGACATGAAATACAATTCTACTTGAATAACAATTCTCACTTTTACCCATAATAGAAGTCAAGAATACTATAGTTCTATACTTCTATCAGAAGCATCCATGTTTACATACATACCAAAAGGTATCCTTCTTTCTACAATGATGAAAAAATAGAGAAGGAAATAATCTTTTTCTGTTCTTTGGATTTAGTGCACTAATATTAACTATTTAAACAAACTTTACTCCATTATAACCTCTATTGTACTGTTACCTTTGTTTAGTCCTGGATTTGTTTTCTCAAATTAAAGGGGCTTATTAATTTCTCGAACAAAAATGCCAATAGTTTACATCAAATGCCAAAGAGACTTTAATCCATGTGGGCAAATCTGTCAAACAAGCAAAAAATAAAGTTCAAGACCTTTTATTCCTCTTTTTAGCAAGCAGGTGATAGGCCGATTCCTACTCTTGGTATGTGATCCACTGAGGCTTTCAAGGTCTTCAACAAAAGTCCTAGCTTGACCACAACACAAGGAGATGAGGGAATACCACATGAGTGATGTATGTGCCACTGTGAAGTTCTCCAGCAAGTTGAGTTGTGCTCAATATCATTTTTATTTTGTGTGAGTGCTAAGCAGATGAAGAATTTCACTAAAGAAGACTCTGTGCACATACTCCTTCATCAGAGCAATGGGTTTTCCACATGGAGTTCAAGGTACAAAGCAGTTACACTACTCAAATGTGGACGACGAGAGGCTAGATTGGGGCAGTTTGTTGGGAAGAAGTAAGATGTTATTTTCCTTCATTGTCATCAAGAAATCCTATAGTTTATAAGCTTTTAAGTAATGCATGTTCTTATTGGTTAGCACAACATTTGCCACAGATGTCTACCTTGGGTGGTTTGAGGGCGAGATAGAATCTGTAAGGTCCTAAAATTACAAGTTCATTTATGTTGTATACAAATCCAGCATCTCGACTCAGCATTTGCAGAACGTATTTAACTAGAGTATGACTTTCATTTTGATTAGGGTTATGATAAGGCTGCCATAAAATTGAATGGAAGGGAGGCAGTGACTACTTTTGAACTAAGCTCATATGAAGGAGTCAAGGAGAGACGAGCTCTGAAATCAACTTCAATGTCAATGCTTATGAAGCTAGAAGATCTCCACCTCAGGCTACATATGGAAGTTCTGCCTCCATGCTAGCTCCTCCCAGGCTGCTTAGAGTGGATCATCAACAGGTCTTCTTGGCATCTTATGGCAACACCCATATGCTAAAGTTGTAAAGATGCCTATCTATTTCACCGTTTACATATTGAGGCATTAAATTCTAATCTCATTTCACTCAACTCGCTCAAATTATACCTTGCACAAATTTTCGTGCCCCTAATCGCACCTAAAATTCAACAACAAAATTACAAACATCACTTGCACATAATCCAAGCCCGTGCGAAATGCGTGGTTAAAAACTAGTACCCTTGTTCTCCATTTTACGGGCAAAAAGGTATCTCATCTTCCGTTTGTAACAGAAAATATATTCCATCTTTAAAAATATTAACAAAATGGTGTCCCTTGGTTGGAAATGTGAATGTGATAATCCCGTGAGCAAATGATGAGTTGGCATTTCTGTTTGCTTTTCTCTGTTTTTATGTGTTGTCTATGTGCTTTTTCTTTTCATAGCACAAGTGATTTATATTCTTAAATATTTTAGGGTAGCATTTTTTTAAGTTTAGTAAAGGAAAAGGATCCCTTTTTCCTTTTAAGTTTACATATTTGTGTGGTTAATGTCGATTGACAATTTAAGTCTTAAGAATAATTTAAATAAAATTGAACACGCACTAAAAATCTTAGAAATTATAATTAATTCATCACAAACAAGTTTCTTTTTTAGTATTATTTTTGTAACAAATAGCTTTATTTTAAAAAAAACTACAATAAAGAGGGGATGACGTAGTCCCGATCAAGGTAGGCAAACCCAAACATGTACATAAAATAGGAAATCCAAAATTAAAAAAAATAGATTCTTGCTAATTTAAATTATAAAAAAATGATGCCCAAAATTTTTGCTAATGGAAAAATATATTTTTATTTATTGAACATAAAAAAATATAGCCCTAAAAATTTTAAGAAAAAAATTACTCCCGCTATGAAGAGAAAAGACACCTAGATAATGCTCCGTACTTAGGAGAAGAAAAAAGCTAACAGGAATGCCAACACAGCATTTGTTTGCCAGATCATAAACAAATTCGCCAAGTGGCACCATTTGTTATAGTTTTCAAAGATCATGTATGTTTTTTTGACAAACGGAAGATGAGATATCTTTTTGTGACAATGTCCAAACTTGAGATACCTCCCGTGAGAGCACTGGTAATACATGTAATGCAAGGTGGTGTTTTCCGATTTTAATGATGCCCCCGATGTTAAACACCACCACGTCCCCCGTTAGGCGAGTGTCATCTTCTTTGAGTCAAATGTTTGATAGAGTTTCAAGCTCAAAAGAGCCGTTGGTATCCCCCACAACGGCTATAATGCCCCGTTAGTATTAAAAAAATTCCTTCTCTGTAAATTCATCCTATTTTTTTTAAAATTCAACACACACCACAAATACAAATCTCTCTCTCTCTCTTCTTTCTAAAAAAATTATTATTCAAGTATTTCTTTTTATTTTTAACATGAATCCCTAGGGGTTTTAAAGTTCCTTCGTCCGGTCTCAGCCAAATGAGCAAGCGATGTGGATTTTTTAATCATACGCTGGTAATCCGTCGATGTTCGGTTCGCAAATCTCGGTGAATCTCGAGGACCCAGAGTCGATTCCAGAGACTCAACCGCAACCAAGTGCACTAAAAAAAGTGCACACTGGAAGAGTCACAAACCGAAGGGCGACAAGCCGATGAACGAGTCAGCACGGTCCATTCAAAAGTGGACACCGTAGGAAGAATCGTTGTTGGCATCCACTTGGCAGGTTGACATCTCCGAGCATCCCACCATTAGTAAAATGTATATTTTTTTTAGTATATATGTTATTTTTAATATATTTGTATTAAAATATTTTTTTCGTTCAATTATATATATATTTCTTAAAGTTTCTGAGCAAACAAAGGATGCGATGTAGGATTGTATCAAGGAGAACTTCTTTGCGGCGATGAATAAGGACGCCTCCTACCGAAGCTGAGACCAACTCACATCCAAATGGGGCCCCATCAACCGTAAAGTTTGAAAGTTTATCAGATTTTACGAGGAATGCTCCCGGTCTCAGAAAAGTGGGACGAACGATGTTGATGTTATGCGGCAAGCCACTACCCGGTATCAAGACGATGGACACCAAAGCAAGGTCCCCGTCGATCTTTGGAGAATTTTAAGCCCTTCACTAAAATAGAAACAACTCAACAACCCCGATGTCGAATCGTCAAAGAAAATATCCTCCACTGAGGTTGAGGTCGATGAGACTATCAACTCGTCGGAACAAGGCTCCCTTTAACATAGTCCGATGACAAGGACCGCATTCCACGGCAGATCGGAAGAAAGAAGGCAAATTTCACCTCGGGTTCTGCAGGGTCTAACTCTATTTCCTCTCATGCACGACGATATCGGCCGGGCAATGGTTGAACAAGTTTACGGGTGTTCAATATTAGGGAAGAAGAGAGGGAGAAACGAAGGCAAGAGAAGGAAAAAGTCGAAGTAATGGAAATCGACCTTGATACGCTAACGAACTTCAAATGTATGTTTTACGAAAGATATCAAAAAGAGATCAAATCCAAATATAATTGGAGAATTTACTTAAATAGCACTAAAACATAATAACTTCTCCTAAACAACATCACACGTGTTTTTTTCCAATGTAGCACTTTTAGTCATTACAGTATCTATTAGTCATTATTCAAGTAAATGTTTGTCATCACTGGACATTATGAACATTATTAAGTACTCCCTCCGTCCCAAAAAGATTTACACCTTTCAAAAAAATTGTGTCCCACAATCTCCTACCCATTTCTATTAAAAAACCACTTTTACCCCTTACTTTTTCAAACCCTACCTATCACATCATACCTTTTTCCTAATAATCTACACATCACATCCTACTTTTACCCATCACATCAAGGATATTTTTGGAAAGTCAACACAAAATTATCCCTCCCTTAATTTCTACTTGTCAAAATGGGTAACACTTTATGGGACGGAGGGAGTATTATTTAGGAAATAAAACAATTTAAATGCTGTTTAGGGAAATGACTTAAGTTTCAGTGCTATTTAGTACAAATATTTCAATATAATTTGCCTTAATTTTTTTAATTAATGTATTCTTTAATTAAATGTTATTTTTTTCACTCAAACATTATACTCCCTCTGTCCCATGAAACATGGAATGTTTTGCTTTTTGAAGAGATTTAAGGAAGTGTATTTTGGTATTGAATTTCCAAAAATGTCCTTTGATGTGATGAGTAAAAGTAGAATTTGATGGGTAGATTATTAGTAAAAATGTATGATGTGATAGGTAGGGTATGAAAAAGTAAGGGGTAAAAGTGACTTTTTAATAGAAATGAGAAGTGTTTTATGGGACAGATGAAAAAAGAAAGGAGAAAGGTTTTATGGGACGAATGAAGTATAAATCAAAACATAAAAATTTTATTTTTTGAGGGGGGAAAGAGTATGAGTTTGACTAGATTTAAAACATGTGTCAACGCAGTCCATGTGTCAATCTATCATGGGGAGTAAGAGAAAGTAGGTGTATTGAATGAATGAAACACTCCATTTAAAGAGTGCCATTGCTCTTTAATTTTTTTACCCACTTGCAAAATTTGCTACACACTACCCAAAACTAATTAACTTAGAAGCCAATAAAGAGTGTGAAAAGGGAGAGGGACTCATATGGATCTCGGAGGAATTAATAATGGAGGCGGCTTCCATGGCTACCGGAGCAGCATCAGGTTCCCTCACCCTACCTCTGCTGCAGGTATATATGTTCATTCCTTCCTATATATATATATATATATATATATATATATATATATATATATATATTATATGTGTGTGTGTGTGTGTGTGTATACATACACACACACACTGACACACATACATATATCTTCATGGGCTATTTTATTTAATTTGTAGAAATTAAATTAAACTAAATGATATGTACATGCATGAAATTAATTGTAGTGGGAAAGATTGTATTGTCAAATTAAACCAGCTACAGTTGAATGCATAATAAAGAGTTCTTTCATCGATAATCGATGGATGGAGCCATTTAATTATTATTGTTCCGTTTTCTTGTACTCCGGTAGTTGTTTATTGTCATTATTATAATTTTCTGGATGGATGATGAATTCAGACCAGACATGATCGTCGATATAATAGCTTAGATATCACCCAAAACTCATAATTATGGACCGGATTATATATATTTATAAAAATATGTATATACAAATGACGTCTGGTAATAAATTAAACCAAAAACAGTAATTTTTTAGAGTTGGGAGAAAGGTAGCAGACGACGGCAATTAGGGGTTGGGCGGTTTCGGAAATGGCCTACCAATGAATTGAATGCTTGGTTCATTATTTACTTACAAGGTTATTTTTATTTGTTGTTTTATTATTTATTTCCCTTTTTTATTCCATAATATTGTGTATAAAATAGCTGTGAACACTTTTCCTTTTTTAATGTAGTTTTTAGATATGTAATTTTAGGTTTATACTCCGGTTCAAAAACAAAAAAAAACAAAAAAGAAAAAGGGGATTGTGTGCGTTAGAGAAGGGGAGATTGGGGAGATAGATAACAAGTGGCATCCATGCAATGCATGCAGCGGGGGGAGGCCCACAAGCGGTGCCCTACCTCACTCCACCACATGCCACTCATGCAAGCGTACCCAATTATATATTACTTCATCACCCTTTTTACGTATCTATGTAACTCATAATCACCTCCTGATTTTTACTTTTATTTGATAAAAGCTTATTGTAAATTCTAGTTTTTTTTTTCTTTTTAAAAAATCAAACTTAGTCTTAAGTACATAGAATTTTTTATTGCACGCACTAATGTTCGAACCTAGATTTATTGTTTACAAAACACTCCACAAAACACTTCTATCGATCCTACCTAAAATGTATAAAATACTTTCAAAATTACTTCTACCTGCAATAAAGTAGATAGTGGATTTTAGACGAAAGTGTTTAATGCGCTGCGCAAAAAATTAGGACGAAAGTGTTTTGTAAACCAGCCGGAGTGAGTATATAATTTGTATTTTCTAATTTTGCACTAATTTTTAATAATATTAATTTAAAAATATTTTCAATCCAATATCGTAATATTTTGGGTGGGATGGAGTAATTACGAATTGAAGCAATTCCGGGCCGGGTCAGTGAACAGCTGGGTACAACGCAGTATAAGGAGTAGTAATAATTCAAATTTAGTGAGATCAGCATTGTATTACGGAGTATGCTTTTTTTGGGAAATGGTACGGTGCCGTATTCGAGATGGTTTAATTGGTCATACAACATGTACAAAACTCACAAAAGTTAAAGAAGGGTTGCATTGGTTGTATATACTCTTCTTATACTTCCTTGTTTGAATCTTTCCGGTCCGTGTTACGATTAATTTTATTTTTAATTTAATTAATTATATATTTAAATTTAGAAAATAAAAATTATATATTAAAAAACTACTCTCTCCGTTTTCAAAAACTCTTCATCTTTCATTTTTTTTACTTCCAACAAAACACTTCCACTTTCTTTTAAAAAACCACTTTTACCCTTA